AAATATATTCTAACTAATAAATAAGGAAAAAGGATATAATCTGGATATCATTATTTTGCAGCTCTCAGTGAATAAACATATGTAGGCATTATGCTTCAACAACTGCAAACATCAAAAAAAGAAATAATCAGACATTGATCTGGTATCTGGAAGGGGTTGCTGCCACATTGTTTAAAGAGTTAAAATGTTTTAACCTCACAATAGCAACAGTATGTGTATTGTTTTCATTTTGCCCTGTTAAGGGGAACAACTGGTTGATTTTCATCGTTTACTCACAAAAAGGGTTACTTCCTCCAATTTATAATAAAGAATAGCATCAGATATATTTATGGATGGTGAATGACTGTATTTGCTTGGATTTGGGGTCATTATTTAGTTTAATGGGATCTACAGTGGCCATCAAAATGGTTCAGTATGCCACAGCTCCCATGAAGTTCAGCTCAGTCAACAAATATGGATAAAATTCAGTTCCATGGATCAGAATCAAAATAGTATAAAAGATCCACAAGAGCCATTGAGCTCACTTCCATGGCACAACCATATAGGCCTTCGACGTGAGGCAGATCCTTATTATTGTGATTAATAGTGATAGTTGAGAACTTATTTTCCTTTGTATCACGCTTTATTTCTTTGCATTCAATTGAGCAGATGAGATGGCTTAGGAACAGTAATAAAACCAGCACAATCACTATCTAGCCTATTTTTTTTAACATTGTGCTGTATATTACTAATTGATTTGTTTCTTCTTGGAGGATGCTACAATATAGTTAAAATGAAACCCAGTGCTTAATGGATTTTTCTTTACTCAGCTGTCTATAACCAATCAGTATTTTGATGTTTGTGGGTTCTTTACACAATTTAGATGTGAGTGAGTATTAAACTAGGTTTCCAGTGTGTGGTATAAGTGAGAGCAAGATAAAGCAGTTCTTTTTTCTCTTTCCCTCTCTCTCTCTCATAAATGAGTTTTAATACAATAGTTTGGTGTTTTGTTTTGTTTTTTAAGTAAGAGAAGAGGAAAGAGCCAGGCTTCTTTCCTCCCCGGCTTCTTCCCTCCCATGCTCCCAATCCAGGCTGCTCCTTGGGGGCCATCTAATCCTCCTACAGCTCAATGGAGCCTCAGAGATTAATGTAGACTCTCAGCTGGGGAAATGCGAGGACCCTTGGACTCTCAGATTGGCAGCTCACATCAAGCCCACCTCACTGCCAGTCTCACTATGACCTTGATCTTCTCTTTAAAAATCAAGATTTTACCTCGTTGCTTTTTACCCAGTCCCTCTCATATGTCTGCTGGTTGATCTTGTAAACTTTCCAGTTACTGGACTTCTCTTTTGACACCCCCTGGCTCCCCATGACCAGAGTGCTGACACTAATCACCTGCTTTCCCTGGTTTGTGCCTATGACTCCAAAACCCACACTCTGCTAGGCTAAACCACTGTGGTACCTTCTAGAACTGAGGGTCTACCTACCACATACCCTGAGCCGACTCACCTCTCCCTTCATGGTGGCCTGCCTGCTCTCTGGGCCTGAGCAACGTTGTTTGGATTTAACTGAGCCCTGAGCTCATGGATTTATAAGGAAAATAAAACCAGACTCACAGAAAGTTTCCATGAGGATTTTATGGTAGTTACAGCACCTTTTTAAGTCTTGAACTTAAACTCAGAAGATCCATGTTTCACTCCTAGCTTAACTATTTATCCACTCTGCACACAGCAGTCTAACTCTCCTGGGAAAGTTTTCACAAAATGAAAATATTGTCCTTCCTCTATATGAATCTAAATCTTCAGGGCCCTGAAACTGGTATGCTTAAAGGTCCTTAGGTGGTTTGGGAACCACTGAATTCAGAGATTTCCAGAGTCGTCCCATCTTGCTGTGGTATTCTGTGGTGTCTGTGAGATTCCAGGCAGATGAGCAAAGAGAACCAACAGGATGAAGTTTCAGCAAGGCAAGCCCATACACAGCAGAAGCAGGACAGCTCTTGTTCAATGAGCAATAAACTCAGAAACCCCATACCCCTAAGAAGTGCTTCTTGTGGGACCCAGAAATTAATTCCAAACAACCTTGGGCAGATTTATGAGAATCGGAGCCATCGAAGGGAGCAAAGAGGACCTCCATGCCTCGAAGGCTGTGGGTGCAACAGACCTCAGCTGGATGAATCATGGGTCTGACCTGGGATTGCGAATCCTCATTCTGTGGACTACACTTCAGAAAGAGTTCCCGCTCTGGACCTTTCCATCCGCAGTTGCTGAAAATGAAAACATAATTTTGTGTATAGAAACCACCTGAGACTAATAATATATGTCCAATGAGTTGGGAAAAGTTGGTCCTTTAACTGAGAAACAGCCTTAGAGTCCCTTCTTTATGGACTGGAGAATGTAAATCTTGAGACTGGGTGTCTCTGCTTTCCTACAGTCAAAAATTGAACAGGAAGTTGCACACTTTATAAACTATATTCTTTATGCGTCTCTAACACATAATGCTCTTTTAAGCACTTTGCTTAGGTCATCATTTAATACTCATAGCACGTCTAAGTACTGGGTATTGTATCTCCACTTGTTCAGCTTAAGAAACTGAGGCTCAGAGAGGCCACAGAGTTTACCCCAGTTTTCACACCTCATCAGGGGTAAAATCCAATGAGAAAAATTGGCCCACCTGGATTAAAAGCCCATGCCCCTCTTCCTACCTCATCAGATGCCCAACTTGGCCAGGAAGTAGAAACCCAGCCTCTCTGAGAACATCTCAGAACCTTCAGAACAATGTTAAGTGAGGCTGGAGTTAGAAGAGGTCCTGCTGAAGACAAATGCTCAGGTAGGGTGCCAAGTCCATGCCTTCTTTTAGCTGTCTTCCTCAGCACACTCTCCACGGGGAGAAAACATATTTATATTTATGTCTGAATTCTTTGATTTCCAGGACCAAACTAACTAAATGAACCACCATGCTCTGCCCCAGATTGACAAGGCTCCCCCAAACCCAGGCTGCTTGCTGTAAACACAGACTGACCTGCAGAATAGAGTTAGAGGAGCTAGAGACCATGGGGTGGAATGGACTTTTAAACTTCTTTTCTGAGCTTTTCTTTTTCTTCCTGCTCCTACCCTCATCCCCAGTTCACTGAGTTTAAATTCCTTGGTGCTGTTGGCAGGGAGATCCATAGTCACAGAAACTCTGGCCACTTTTCCCATTGTCAGGAACAGCACCAGCCTTGGTTGTAGTCAGGAGTCAGCAACATAGCTTATTACATTTTTAGAGTTTTAGATATTATAATAACTTTTCATACCCCTCATTTCCCTTTAATTCTTATTCCAATCTAGCCCCTTTCACAGACAAAAAAGAAGATAATCAAGGTCCCATAATCACCAAGTGATGAGGCTGCTCCCAAACCCAAATGTTCTTGCTGATTTTGGAGTCCATGACCTTACCACATCCCCCCACACCACCACCTCCGCCCCCTGCACAGCCCACACATGTAATTTGAGCACTGGAAAGGGTGAAAGGTCAACTGGCCATGACAGCTCTGCTGAAAAGCTTCCAGTAAAGAGTCAGTCCTTTGAATTAACAGATTACCCCCTTACAATGCAAACAGATGAGAAAATTAACACTCAAGCATTCACACCAAAGATGAATGGATTCATCACCTTCTTGCCCTTGAAACGACCTTCAGAAACCAAATAGAAATCAACATCTTTCTTTGAAGAAAATGAAGCCAAGAAAGTCCTGAGGGCTCAGTATTGAGTAGCTGTGTGTGCATTGGAACCCCAGCTAGAGCATTGCTCTCCTGACCCTGGGCTGGGGCAGCATAACAAAAGCCTACCACAACCAGCCTGGTTTTTAGATTATCAAAACTGCCCTCATGTAATCTCAATCTGATTGCTGATAATTAGCAACCCAAGTTAACCTTTCATTTTTGCATCAAGTTAGTTGAAAGTCATCAAAAGAATTTTATGTTTTAGCGAACAAAGCTATATACAGCCAAATTAATTTTTTCATAATTTTCTGTAGGTAGGATTCAACTTCATCTCTTTAAAGGGAAATAATTTCTCCAATCTTATAATGAGATTTTTGTATTTTAAGTAAAAGTAACTTTATCAAGAGCACATTTGGGGTAAAAGTTTTTATAGATTTTAAACACATTAGAATTCCCGCCAGGATAAAATCTGACAATTCTTCAAGGTCCAGCCTGACTCAAAAATAAAATGTATGGAAGGAAGTGGTCCAGCGGCTGTGGAGGGGTGGAGGTGTGCTGAGTGTTCCTGAGACACCCCCGGAAGGCCACCGAAGAGCATTGGGTGCTCTGGGTGAGGACAAACCACCAGGCAGTGGTGAGGGGCTTGGAAAAGGAGGACATGCATCGGAGGCACAAGTAATCCATTTCCTATTTTTTACAGTAAATAGCACAGAGCTGCTTCCAATGTGTTTCCAAGCCCAACCAATGAGGGGAAGGATGGCATGGAGCTGACTCTGTGCCCAGTTTATTCTTTTGAACTTCTTCAGGCTGAGAGGATCCTGTATGCAGAAGTCAGGTTAGACCCAGTCACAATAGCACAGATTGAGCACCTCTTGTTTGCCTAGTACTGTCCTGGACCTGGTGAGAACCAGGAGAGGACCAAACCTCCACTCGTGCTTGCCTCACCTGAGAGGAGTCTTCTCTCCCTCCTCAGAACTCTCACGGTGCAGTTAGCTGGACCCCTCTGTGGCTCTTTTTCCCTTACTGGCCTGTGTTGTTGCATCCCTTTGGGCCTCCTTTTAGTCGCCTGTAAGTCTGTGAAGGCCAGGGTCGAGGTCTGCTCCATGTGTGTCTCTGCCTCTGGTCCAGGGCCTGGCACACAGCAGATCCTCACAGAAGCTTCCAGTTCGAATGACTGATTAGTGTCCCTTGCCCCAACCTTGGTGCCATCCTGGAACAGGGGCTTGGCGCCATGGAGCCGACAGCTCAGAGGCAGCGAGGGAAACCCCTGGAGAAGGGAGGGCCAGGCCAAGTGAGTGATTGCCTTTCCTCTTGTGTGCAGTTCACTGGCTGTTCACCACATGCGGGGCCAGTGGGCCCCATGGCCCCACGCAGGCCCAGTGCAACAACGCCTACCGGAACTCCAACCTGAGTGTGGTGGTGGGGAGCGAGGGCCCCCTGAAGGGCATCCAGACCTGGAAGGTGCCAGCCACCGACACCTACAGGTGGGTATGGGGGAGGGGAGGGTCAAGGGCAGACCCACCCTCCTAAAGAGGACTGGGGTCCTGCCTGTGGGTGCATGCCTGACCCGCTGGGGTGCCCAGGCAGGCCAAGGCCAGAGACTCTGGCCCACATCAGAGGCGAGGGCTGGAGACGGGGAGATTGGGGATAATGGAATATGGCAGGAAAGGTAGCTATGTCCTCTGTTGGCCAGGTGCCCACACCACAGACCATTTGTGGAGACGATATGCATGCATGAGCTAGCTTCAGAGCGTTCTCTAGTTTTATTAATAATTATAATTTGAATGGGCTGTTCTTTGACTATTACTTCATGTTCAAATGAGGCAATAAATGTCAAAATGTTTGGGAAACAAAAGTATGATACACATGAAAGATGTTTCTTATCCTTGAACCTCCTTTCCTGGGCCTTCATTGTTTGCTAGTAAAGCAAGTATTCTTGAATTCTCATCCCAGGCCCAATCCCCACCTTACAGCATTCCACTAGAGCAAGGCCAGGCTGAGGGAGGCCCAATTCCAGCGGGTAGACAGCTAAGCCAAGCTGATGGCAAGGCTTCTAACCCTGAACAGGCATCGGAATGACAGGAAGGCCAGATATTTGCATGAACGATGGCATAATTATGCTTCCTATTTACGCAGCCCAGCCATGTGCTGTACAAGGCCCAGATTGCTGGCCCTACTCGAAAAGTAAAAACGTGAAAGTGTTAGTCACTCAATTGTATCTGATTCTTTGACTCCTCTGTCCACGGGATTTCCCCCGGCAAGAATACTGGAATGGGTTGCCATTTCGTTCTCTAGGAGATCTTCCTGACCCAGGGATTGAACTCATGTAGATCTCCTGCATTAGCAGGCAGATTCTTTACCATCTGAGCCACTAGGGAAGCCTTTCGAAGAGTATGATTATATAGGTCTGGAGTGGGGCCCAAGAATAAGCATTTCCTTTTTTTCATGCTAAACATTTTTACATTAATGAAGCAAATATGACAACACATTGGCGTTTACTGGATGCAGGTTGAGGAGGGAGACATAAGTGATATTCATTGTACTCATGGAATCCATCCACACATTCGTTCATCGAGAATATGAATTTCTCGCAAGTTCTCAGGTGATGCTGATGCCACCCCCAAAACCCGCTGGGTTCATCACACCCCAGACTGTCATCTTCTCACAGCTCAATGACGGAGGCAAGGTCAATGCCACAATCCTCCTTTTACAAAGGAGGGAACTGAAGCTCAGAGTCAGGAGCCTCCCCACAGCCACGAGGTCCAGAAATTGCCTCCAGGCCCAGACTTCTGAGGCCCAGCCGGTGGAGGCTCCTTGCGCAGCACGTGGCTGGGCTGCATAAACAAGAAGCATAATTATGCCATCGTTCATGCAAATGCCCGCTCCTCTCCCCTCTGGGGAGGGGAGAGGGAAATGAGCTGCTTCCCTTCCTGCAGTCCCCAACACCCGCCTCCTGCGCCCCGCACAGCCTCAGCCCCCGGGGAAGAAAGGAGCTTCTCAGGTTGCCCTGCTTTCTGTGCAGTCCCAGCCCCTGGGACCTCGTGTAAATGCGTTCTGGGGAAAGCCTAAGTGCTTTTTAAATGACATTCCAGGCAGGAATGCAATAACAAGGTTTGGCTGCAATGAGATTAGCAGCTCCAGGTCCCACAAATCCCCAGTAAATGGCCGAAGACATCCGGCTACCCCTGCCCCTACCGCACTGAGCAGGCCGGGCCTCCCTTCCTGCCTGGCTGATTTTCCAGAGGTCACCCACTGTCATAGAGAAGAGAGGATGCATGTCTGTTGAGGACCCACTAGGTATTTCTCCTCCTTGTAACAATGAAGTAGATGTTATTATCTGTATTCCCTTGTTTCCATATGAAGAAACTGGAGTCAGGAAGTTAAGCAGCAGATCTAAAGCCACATGTATGTGTGTGCATGCATATGTGCTAAGTCACTTCAGTCGTGTCCGACTCTTTGTAAGAGTGGAAATGTAGCCCACCAGCTCTCTGTCCATGAGATTCTCCTGGCAAGAATACTGGAGTGGATTGTCATTTCCTCCTCCAAGGGATCTTCCTGACCCAGAGATCTAACCCTCATCTCTTACATCTCCTACATTGGCAAATGGGTTCTTTACCACTGGCGCCACCTGGGAAGCCCCCCTAAGGTCCCCCTAAGCCCCCCTAAAGACCCCCTCAGTGACAAAGATGGAATTTGAACCAAGGACCCTCAGGCTCAAAGCATTTGTGTTCCCTCCATTAAAACTCACATCTGGACTTTGAGACGCAAGAAACAGGAAATGGGGCAAGGGGATCCTTAGGACCCAAGCAGCACCCACCTCCCGGAAGCCTCCAGAAATGAGAGCCTGGGAGGGGAGGCCCCACTGCCTGAAGGGAGACTGGCCAACCCAGCAGTTGGTGTAAATCCCCACGTGTGAAAAGCAACATGAGGAAGGTGGCAGAGGAGTGGCAAGGCAGACAGAGACCTCAACTGTTACTCCAGCAAGACTTGCTGTCCCATCCTTGCCCAGGGCGACTCCCAAGTTAGACTGGCTCAAAGTCCCCTGAGACTTACAGAGGTCCTCTTAGGCTGTGTTTCCCCTGAGATAGGGTGAATCAGACCCACTTCCAAACTTGGGCAGGTCATTTAATCCCTTGAGACTCTGTTTACCCATCTGTTAAAGGTGAGGGTTGGGAGTTGCTGACACCTGTCCAGCTGGTTGCAAAGATCATGTACAGGTACCTTGCACGTGTCCTGCATGTGATAGGTGCTTCCCAGCCCAACATCTGCAAGAAATCTGCTGGAGTAACTATGGTGTCAGGCAGTGACCAGACAGCATTTCCAGAACAGCAGTAGTTCCCAACTTCTGTGCTTCCGAGGACTTTTTCCTGGTCTTTTGAAAGATTGTGCCTGCCAAACTACACTTATTAAATAATAATTAATTCATTTCCCCATTTTTTATTAATCACAGCCATATCTAAGTCTAGCCAGGTTTCTGATCTACGTGAATTGCCACAGTATCACCACCCTGTGTTGCAATAAGCCCAGCCCAAATGGGAGAACTATTTCCATTTCTCTCTTTGGAATGCTGAGACTAGCTAGCTTGAAGCCCCCAGCACTGCCTAGTGCACACTCCCCAGAAACACACACAGGAGCTGTTTTTCTGTTGAAGCAAGATACCGAAATGCCCACGTTTCTAAAGGGGACTTTTTGAACTAGCCTGAGAAGCATCATGTCAAAATGAAAGAATCAAAGCCCCAAAATGTTTGGTTTGGGTTTTGTTGTCACTGTAGACTCCTTGTTTTTTAACCCAACAAAGGCTGTTACAGATATTCTTGACCCTTATCTAATCCTTGACCTTAGATGAGGCTCGAAACTTGAACAATAATGTCTATTGGTCACATAATGTCACATCAAAGAAGCAGACCATTTGATGATTTGCTATAAATCATTAGAGCACATCAAAGTGCTATGCATACATGCTTCAATCGTGTCTGACTCTTTGCAACCCATGGACTATAGTCCACCAGGCTCCTCTGTCCATGGAATTTTCCAGGCAAGAATACTGGAGTGGTTTGCCATTTTCTCCTCCAGGGGATCTTCCCAACCCGGGGACTGAACTTGTGTCTCCTGCACTGGCAGGTGGATTCCTTACCCGCTGAGCCACCTGAGAGGCCCCAAAGAGCTATAGACTACATCAAAATGTCCCCCAGTCAGAATATCCAGGTTGAGAGGTCAGGTGCCTTTTTTCTGGAAGATATTTTCTCCATGGTAACTAGTACTAATCCTTATTTAGTAAGCACAGTTCATCTAGTGAGACAAACAGGACACACAGAAGACAGATGTGATCAAAGGTTCTTGAGAACAGGAAGGTCGGGAGCATTCTTTAGGGAGTCCATCTATTCCTGGAAGAGTGTGGCACTCAGCTAGTGCTGTCTGACTGCAGCCTGAGACCTGGCACTATTATTGCTCCAGTCAAGGACTCTACCTATTGATCAGAGAGGTTAAGGAAAAGAAACTACTACTTACCAAGCACCTACTGTCTGCCAAGGTGGGGTATCATTGTCTGAGGCTTCCTCAGGGATGCATATAGGTGAAAACACCCCCACTCTTTTTTTTTAATTAATTTGTATTGGAGTATAGTTATTTACAATGTTGTGTTAGTTTCCACTGTATAGCACAGTGAATCAGTTATACATTTATCTGCTCTTTTTTAGATTCTTTTCCCATACAGGTCATTAGAGTACTGAGTAGAGCTCCCTGTGCTGTATAGTAGGTTCTTATGTATGTGTGTTAGTTGCTCAGCCGCGTCCAACCACTTACAACCCTGTGGACTGCAGCCCACCAGGATCCTCTATCCGTGGAATTCTCCAGACAAGAATACTGGAGTGGATAGCCATTTCCTCCTCCAGGGGATCTTCCAGACCCAGGGATCGAACCCAAGTCTCCTGCACTGCAGGCAGATTCTTACCATCTAAGCTACCAGGGAAGCCCAGGTTCTTACTAGTTACCTATTTTATATCATACTGAAAGCGCGCGCACACACACACAGAGACACACAGATACACACACACACACTGCTGTCCTGTCCTGAGCTTCCCCTTCCCCTAGATTTTCTACTTTCTCTGTCAAAACAGAAGAGGTGTCCACACCTGCTCTCCTCCTGCTTTGCAAATCTCAGAGACCCATACTAAGCGCCTCTTAGGACACTGTGCCTGACACCTAAGTATATAAAGGGTACAAGATCCAGTCTTTGCCCCCAAAGGAGCCCCAGCCAATGGCAGACATAGGAGCAAAGCATTTTGGTGTGAGGTACAAATGCCACACCGGAGGTTTACACACCGCCCTGCCATCAGAGGCCAGGGGAAGGGCCTGAGGTCATGGGTGGCTTCCACAAGGAGACAGAAGCCTGAGCTTCAGTCTTGAAGGTGACAGAGTTGTCTGTGAAGAAGAGGGGAGGGCCTTCCTGGTGGGAAGAACCCCTGGGGGAGCCGGGGCCTGCAGG